TGTTTGAGACCAGCCTGGGCTACCTGTTTCAAAACTAAAATAAATAAATGGAATAAAACAACAGCGGAGGTTTGTAAGAGCAGAGCCCTTAGATTGATTCGGTGACACAGTGACTTGCTCCAAGGCACACAGTTGGCCTAGAGATTGTGAGCATCTATTCCTTGAGAGGGGAAGCAACATACAGTGACACTTTTGGCTGAAGTGCGCTCAGCTAGAGGCCGCTTCCAGTCTCCTCAGGTCCACTCAGGTCCACTCAGGTCCACTTGGGTCCTCCACTCATTGGCCTCAGGCCTTTGCCCAAGCGATCACTCTTCCTGTTCCTTCAGACTACCCTCACTGGCCTGGAGGAAGCTAGGTTTCTATTTTTAGAACATGTGGGCCAGTGCAGAGCTAATTGAGCATAAAAAAGAAAAAGGAAGGGATGAGCTATCCGGCCTCTGAAAGATTCCTTCCAGAGTCCCAAACTCATCCCCACCTCACTGGCTCCCGTTTTGTTCCATTCCCCGACGTAACCACCCAAGAGAGCACAAACAGATCCCTCTCCAGTACTGTTCATGTTGAACTGAAGCGTATGTGGGGTGATAAGCTCCTGACGGTAGTGAGGAGCAGAGAGAACATGTCCCTGAGGTCACCCTGGGTGGCCCAGCCTGACAGTGTGCCACTTTCAGCTCTCACAAGCACTTACAGGCCTGTGCTCATTAGGAGCACTCCCGTGGGAAGGCTTCTGAATGGCCCTGGGGGGTTAAGTCAGCTTCAGGGCCATAGCCTGGCGCAGCACAGATCAGAAAGGGACCTGGACCTGCTGTCTCTGTAGCTACCCAGAGTCCAGCCCCTGTCCCAGAACAACAGACGCAGGTATACACCAGGGGAGCCTGGTTAGTAGCCCATCTTCAGCTCTGCTCTCCACAAGGGTGGCTCCACCAAGGTTCATTGTTCTGGGACCCCAGGGATGACACTGCTCATTCCTACCTCCAGTGCTCAGTTAAGTCATGCAATCGCCTCCTGAGCTCCAAACAGGAATTTAAAGCCTGCCTTTCGGAATCTGAAATAGCTCTTACTGACCCAAGCGAACCAACTAAGGAGACTCCCGGACACTGGTGCTTTTAGGGTAGGATAGGGACCACGGTTCCAGCCTTGGGGTCCTGGGTGCGGCACATGCCTATTATCCCAGCACTGTGGAGGTTGAAGCAGGATCAGGAGTTCAAGGCCAATTTTAGCTATTTAATGAGTTTGAGGCCAGCCTGGACAATAAGAGACCCTTCGAAAAAACAAAAAGCAAAGCAAAACCAAACAAAGCCTGCTCAGGGTACTGAATCTGATCAGGTGACTCTGAGAACACCACTCCCTTTTCGGAGCAATTTAGCAATAAACCCAACCTCCATTTCTCAAACCTACTGTTTTTATTCTCTGGTACGCCAGAAACAATATAATATGTGGGGTAGGCTAAGTCATGTCTCTCTGAAAGCCATCTATGTCTTTTCTTTTTCCTTTTAGTTTTTCGAGACAGGGTTTTTCTGTGTAGTCCTAGCTGTCCAGAAACTTCTCTATAGACCAGGCTGACCTCAAACTCAGAGATCTTCCTGCCTCTGCCTCCCAAGTGCTGGGATTAAAGGTGTGCAGTACCTCCTATGAACTAGTATCTATGTCTTAATCCCGAAGACCTGTAAACACTATTTTACATGGTAAAGAAAAGACGCTGCAAGAAAGACGTGGTGAAGTTCGGGGATGACTTTGACATAGGTACTTCTGGAGTACCAAGACCATAGGGCAGTCATAGGCATTTGTGGAACACTTTAAGCCATAAAAAGAACAGAATCCTGTCATTTGCTAAGGACCGGGGTGGAGCTGGAGATGATTATTCCAAGTGCTTGCCTTCAAGCTTGATGTCCTGCATTTGAGCCTTGAGACCCATGTGGTGGAAAGAAAGAGCTAGACTCTTAGACGTTGTCCTGTGACCTCCACACGCACATGCGAGTCGACATGCGCGAGTAAGTACAATTAAATTATTTTAGATTTGTTTATTTTATGCATATAAGTGTTTTACCTGCATGTACATCTGTGCACCACATGTGTGCCTGGTGCCTGAGGCAGTCAGAAGAGAGCAGTAACTGGAATTGCAAGCAGTTCTGAGCTGCCTGTGCTGGGAATTGAACCTGGGTCCTCCGCATGAATAAGTGTTCTTCACTACTGAGCCATCACTCTAGTCCTGCATTTAAGCTTTTAGATTTTATTTAAAAGTAAAAAAAAAACTCTGAAAATTTGTATCATTGAAAAAAAAAGATAAGACTGGTAACACATATTTGGGTTGGTGAGGCAAGAGGCTAAGAAATTTGAAGCCAACGTGGATTACACAGAAAGACCTTGTCTCAGCAGGAAAAAAAAAACTGGAGAAGGAAGGAAGGTAGAAAGGAAAGAAAGAAAGAATGGAGGGAGGAAGGGAGGGATACATATTTGAGGAAATGTTCAGCCCGATTTCAACATTACACAGTGTGAACATGTATGGGACCCCACGTATGCACAGTTTATGTAACGGTTAGCCACAATTTACCAGAGACTGGGAGATGGCTCAGCGGGTAAAGTGCTCACAGCCCAAGCAGCTGAGTCTGGAGCTGCACCCAAATAAAAGCTGTGTGCACTGGCAAGCACCCGTGATCTCAGCACTGGGTGCTGTGTAGACAGGTGGATTGTGGGGGCTCCCTCGCCAGCTAGTTCAGACAACAAGTTCAAGATCACTGGGACCCTGTTCAAAATATAAGGTGGAAAGCAAGAGGGGGAGACACGTGAGGTCAACCTCTGTCCTCCACAGAGGAATGCATGGGGGAATGAACCTCTACATGGGCAAGCACACTCACACAGACAAACACAGACACATGTGAGCATGCTTGCATAGTTCCTACATGTATCATAAGAGACACCCAGAGGGAAATTTGGTCCAAAGAGAAAACAATGGTCCAGACTGGATGGAATGAAACAGCCACACACTTACACAATGCCCACCACCCCGCAGAAGCTGGATAAATGGGATGGATTCTCCCCTAGACCTCCAGGGGGAGCACAACCTCACCAACACAGTTTTATCCCAAGGATACCAACTTGGAACATCTGTCCTCCAGAATATGGAGAGGATACATTTCTGTTGCCTTAAGACACCCAGCCTGTGGCCACTTGTTCCAGCAGCCGAGAGAAACAAATAGAGCAGGACCATTTAGTGCCGTTGAGTGTGTGCAGAGAACTGCTGGGCAGAGCATCTCATCCACACGGACTCCTATGGCTCCAATTGTGAGGTCTTGCAGTGCAGACACAAGGCCTGGGTTTGAACTGGTTTCCCCTCCCTAACAACCGCCACCCTATGCATGTTGTATAACCTCTGCAAGCCCTGGCTTCCCTGGTCACAAGACAGGCATGGGCTATGTTTTTACTGAGCAGCTAGGAGGATAAATGGGTAATGAAAGTAAAATCTTTCCGACTGTCAATAATAGTCAGTAATCTAGCTACTGTGCCACCCCAGGAATTAAGTGAAAACAAAGCAGGCCAGCCTCCTAGTCTGCCACTACCTGGACAAGGCCTCTGAGGCCCACTGCAGGAAATAGATTGTTCCCTTAAAGCCCACCGAATATCAGATATGAAAATCTAAAGAGTCCAGTGAAGCAATGTGGGTCTGTGACGCTGGTCTCACTTCAGAAACGGCAGCTGTCTGGAACCATGAAAGTTCTACAGCACATTTAGACTCTGCTCGGGTTCTCACGAGGCCCTACAGAATGCCATTCATCCTCGGGGCTTTCTGGGGGGGGGGGGGGGCTCACCCAGCACGCCCTGTAAAACCCTCTACATCTCTCTCTGGGTTTCCAAATCAGCAGGAAGCAGAAATCTTGGTCCACTTTGTGGCCTTTCACCGACTGGGTCAAACAGCACTCGAGTCTGTCCTAGCAGGCTGGGAAGGATGATACATTCAGGAGTCTGCTTTATTTAGACTGTGGCTAAGTTAGTAAAGAACCAAGGCTCCCAGGAAAGACACCTAGAGTTCTCGCCTGAATGAAAGCTTAGGGAAAGAACGAACTTACTGATAAAAGTTCGCCCAACTCCAGTTCAGGTGATGTAATTGAAAGAGTAAGAGAGCAGCACCTGCCACCATCCCGGACTTTGTGTCCCCACCAAGGAAACCAGCAAGCCAAGAATGAAACAGAAAGCCCCCTTCCATACACCCCCCAACGCCCCCTCCCGGGCCAATGGGCGCTGGCTTTCCAACAGGCGAAGCTCCAACCCCTTGCACTGGAGGGGACTCCTGCTGTTGCTGCCCAATGCTGGCAACCCCGCTCTTTCCTGAAGGCTGCAGCGACAGCCACCTGCGCTCTCTGCCCTTCCCGACCCGAGCCCATCCTCGGAAAGGAAGGAGGAGGCAGGAGGGCAAAGTTCCCTCCTCCTCGTGCCCCGTACTTTGCAGCACCCACAGCTTTCTGCTCTGCCGTCACCATTGACGAGAACCCTAGTCCCCTGGAGGAATCGCTTCTTCTTCCCATTCCATCCTCTCCATCAATGAACACGCAGCGACACCCACGCTCCCGCTCCTCCCACTCCGGAGGGAGCCGGAGCTCAAGAGCGACATCCGGAGTTGGAAGCCTCTGCAGCGGGGGTGCCGGCCACCCTGCCCCGCTGCTCCTTGCCTTTTCCTAGCCACCAGAAGACCCCCCCCCCAAACGTGCCACCCCAAGTTGGCTTGGCACTCCGAAAGGATAAGGGATCCGAATCCTCCGAGAAACCCGCCTCTCCCCAAGAATAGCAAAAGAGACCTAAGGGAGCCCGCGCGCAAACCGCCCTGGGCCACCCGCGGAGTCAGGGATTCGAACCAGCTGCCCTAGCCGCCCAGCATCCCCAAGCAAGTCCTTAGCCCAGCACTTCTGCTGCCCGCTCGTCCACCGTATCCTTCCAAGCAGGTCTTGGCAGCTCCAGGACGGCGAGCCGGAGCGAAGCCGAGGGTCGCTGGGCCCAGGCGGGTTACTTACGCTCGGGCGCGGGGGAAGCCCATGGACAGGAGCACGTCCAGCGCCGACCCATGCTTGACGGTGCCCGGGCGCTGCAGGCGGTCCCTGCGCGGGGTGACTTTGCTGTACAGCTCCTCGCGCGCGGCCATGGAGAGGGCTGGGGTCGCGGTGCCGAGTGTCCGCTCAGTGGCCGCCCATCGCCCGCGCACAGGAGCTGGGGGTCCCGGGAAGACGGCGGGGGCGGTGCTCCCAGCTCCCCGGGCGGAGACTGACGCTTCCTGGAGAGGCCCCGGGAGCTCGGCGCGGGCCGGCCGCTTCTGTGGGACCGATCTCAGCCCGCTGTGCCGTGTAGTCCCAACACTGAGAGGCTGCAGCCTTCTCTGTCCTCCGCCCCCCGGCTTCTCCTTCCCGAGCTGTCCGGGAATTTGCAATGAGTAATTTTTGAATGGGTCAAAAAGGAAAAGCAGCCTTGTGGGCAGGCCCTGCCTCGCCTGTGCAGGGCCCCGCCCCTCTCTTAAAGCGGCCGCGCGGGCCCAAGCCCTGCTGGCAGGATTCCAGCTGTAGTAGGCATTGCTTCTAGACAGAAGGTCCCGCAGTAACCAACTAGGCCAGTGTACTTTGGTTCTCAGAGACCCAGATCTGCCTTGGCTTGCACACCGACCCATCTGGGCCTCGAGGCTTCGGAATAGCCCATTTCACGTTTCATTTGATCATTGGCAAGGTCAGTAATGGAAACCTACTGCAAGCATGGATGAGAGGACCAGAAGTCTAAGCCACAGTAAAGCCCGCGGAAAGGTATCACTTCAGATTGATCCTGCAACAGTTTCAAAGTTGTTAAATCTCCCCCATAGCCCGCAGTGACTAGAGAACGACTTCCGGAAAAGGGCCTCTGACTCTTGGAAGTGGTAGGATAGGACCTGAGAGGGCAGAGGCCAAGGAAGAAGGGACAAGAGAAAGGGAAAGAAAAAAGGGAGGAGAAGCAGAGAGAAACGAGGGGCTAGAAGGTAGAAGGAGAAGAAACAGAGAAAGGACAATAATTATAGCACTTCCTAATGGAATGAGCTGACCTTCACGAGGGAGTGTGCACCCTGTCAATAAAAGGGTTCAGCACAGGAGCCATAATTGAACCCCACCAGAGTTGGACCAAACAACTCTCCTCGAAGAAAGGAAGTCATTACTACGAATGCCCCCTGTCACCATGAACTTTGCTGAGGAATTAAAGCTCGGTGACCTGGAAACAAAGCCATTGTCCTCAATCAGAAACAGATGATAAGAAGAGGAGGCATAGATCTTCTCTGGGGTAATAATGATAGCTAACATTTATTGGACCCATTTGTGTGTCAATAATTGTGTTAAGCATAATGGTTGAGATAACTCATGGACCTTTTACAATGCCCTGGAGGGTGCCTACCTGTATAGCCTGGTTTTATAGATGAGAAAACTGAGCTCCGAGGGGCAGAGGAAAACGAAAGAGCTCACAAGTAAAGAGATGGAGCTTTGACTCACTGTGGTGTCCTGAACAAGTTACTTCTGTCCTCAGCAACCTTGTAGTCCATCTGTACAGTAGTAGTCACCTAATACCCCCCCCCCCCACACACACACACCAGGTTATCCAAAAACTACAGCAATCTCTTGCTTGCCTGCTTAGGGTGTAGGGGAGGGATGTAGCTTTAAAGGTTTCTTTATAGGGCACCAGGGAAAATTATAGCTTATTTCCCTGACCTCTCATCTCACTGTTTTTTTTTTAATTTTTATTTTAATTCAAAGTACCAGTGGCATTTGGAAGTGGGGAGATGGGACGGGGGAAGCATGGCTAACAATTTGCATATTTCTGCCTGGCGTTATGAAAGAGACCAGGGACAGTTCACACTTTCTGAGTGGGGGAGTTTCTTCTTCCCAGCAGAGGGAATGCTTGACTGAGGCGGAGGTTGGAGAGAGCTGGGAAAATCATCATCTACAGACTCGCCTCCTTGGGATGTGTTCAGTAAAGTCTACTGGACAGGACCCAGCATCCTAAATCTTTTCCAAATACCTGGGCTGGAACCAGATGATCTGGATTTCAATCAAGAGAAAATACTGTCGGTGGCAGCGCTTTGTGCACTCAGAGTCCTGCAGGGGCAGCAGCTCAAATTTAATGAGCCTGGACCAGAGGCTGGTGCAGCCCTTAGTGTCTGACACATTTGGCTCACTCAGTTCTGGGACCAGACTGTAAGGCCACTTTCTCCTGAGAATCTGGAACCCATGTCTTGGGTATGTACTGTCCCTTTGCTAAGTACTTACCTCTTTTGATGCAAGAGCTTAAAGCTACATTGCAATATTTTCTCTTTTACATTTTCTTTATTTCTGTGTGAGTGTGTGCGAGTGTGTACTCAAGCCCAAAAAGCGTAGATGTGGAAGGCAGAAGACCGTTTGTAGGAGTCAATTCTCTCCTTTTCTTGTGTGGATCCCAGGGACTGAACTCAGGCCATCATCATGCCTCTCTGCCCGTTGAGCCATCACAATAGTCAAAGTATTTTCTTAAGAAGTTCCAACTTTTCGGGGCTGAAGAGATGCTCCTTGGCTTAAGAGAGCATTTGTTGCTGTTGTAGAGGATCCAAGTTCAATTTCCAACACCTTCATGGTAGTTCACAACCGTCTGTAGTTCCAGTTCGAGGGGGTCTGATGCCCTCTGCTGACCTCCATGGACACCAAGCATGCATGCGGTACACAAACATCTATGTGGGCAAAACACACGTATAATAAAATCAACATACAGGATAAAAATAAACTTTTCATATTAAGCCAACAACTATCCACTTTTATAATGGCAAAAAGGATGTCAAACTTAAAGACGGTTGATTCTGACTGGCTTTTTGTTTGTCTATTATTTGTGGCCATCTTCCTATATAGTCCAGGATAACCTCAGACTCAGGATTGTCCTGCTTCAGCCTCCTTCTAAGTGCTGGATTGCAGACTTATGCCACCCATGCACTGTGTGATTGCCTTCTGTGCCTCTTGCCTCGGTTTGTTGGAGCTCTGTTTTTCTGGAAAGGTAATTTAGCTGTCTTTCCCCTGCCTCTGGAGAACTGGAGGACAGGACGGGGTTGGGGGGGGGAGGATGATTGGTATAAAAACAGTAGTTGAGAGCCTGCAAAGGACACTATGGAAAACCAGGCACCGTCAATGCAAATTATTTTCTGTTGTGTCTAGAGCAGTTTTTGCCAGCCTGGCTCCTACCCTTCCTCAGTCCAGTGCCCATGCTTGTTTTAATTGGAACGGCTGCCATTTGCTGTGCACAGGGCTGGGGGCTGGCAATTAAGACGCATTGTGCTTTAATTGTATTGACTTTGAAAGGCGAGGAGAAGCTTTATAAACATCCATATTGTTATATTACAAAGGAGGAAGAAGAAAGCGTGTTCGTCCGACAGTGTATCTCATAGCTGTGGGGAAGAAGGAGGCGGAGGAGGGCTTGCACAATGGAGCTGACACATCATTAGGCTGCCTTTCCCTCAGAGGAAAAGCAAGCTGCCATGTCCCTGTGCCCGGTCATGTCAGAACCCACCCAGCTCACAAAGCTCTTTTGTTTATGTGAACACCGTTTCACTTCATGTCACTGGCTCCCAGCCACTTTCTTGCATAGAAGACCTTCCACAGTGGCCTTAGAGATGCCAAGGTGGGATCAGTTGACTTCACTTCCTCCTCCTTTTCTTCCTCCTCCACTTCCTCCTCTTCCTCTTTTTCCTCCTCCACTTTCTCTTCCTTCTCATCCTCCTATTCCTCCTCCTCTGTTTTACTTCCTCTTCCTTCTCCTTTTCCCATCCCTCCTCCCTCCTATTGAAACAGTGTCTCACTATGCCGCCAGATTTGGAACTGATTGATCCTCCTGCCTCTGCCTCCTGAGTGCTAGGATTACAGGCAGCATACCAGACTGCACTTGCCCTTTCAGAGGCCTCTTCTGTCTTTTCCCTCTCCTCTTGGGCCAGGAGAAAAGGTCAGCAATTGCATCAGAACAGGAGGGAAAGACCGAAGACTGCTTCAGTTCTGAGGGCTGAGTGTAGTCTTGGCGAATGAAAGCGGGTTTTGAGCCTATGGTGATGACTTTCTCTCCTGATCTTCAGGAGGGTTTGTCATGCATACAAAGCCATGTGCTGCCACTCTCTGGGCTCAGGCTCCTCACCCATCAAATGTGGAGCTTCCCTGAGGCTGTCATCCCAAATCACTGGCACTCAGGGGCTCTTAGAGGGTAGGGGTAGGATTACCCAACTGGACTTTGGGTGGATGAAGCATGACATCCGGGCTTCCTCTTTCAGTGCAAAGAAGCCCCATCAGCTTTACATTGTGGGGAGTTTTATGAAGGTTTCCTATGAGAAAGAGTTTGGAAAGATTTTTCATATGTTTGAAAGCACAGAGCAAAAGTTTTGGTTTGGTTCCTGGTTTGAGGTGTGTGTGTCTGTGTATGTCTGTGTCTGTGTATATGCGTGTGAGAAGGTGCATGAGCCCATGTGTATGTTAGTTTGGTTTGGTTCATGGTTTGGTGTGTGTGTGTGTGTGTGTGTGTGTGTGTGTGTGTGTGTGTGTTAGAAGGTGCATGAGCCCATGTGCATGTGGAAGTCCCAGGCTGGTATCGGGAGTTCTTCTCAGTTGCTCTTCCCCTTGTTTTTGAGGCAAGGTCTCTCAGTTGAACCCAGAGCTTACAGATAAGGAAATTCTGGCTAGCTCTGGGGATGGCCTGTCTCTACCCTTCTGCCTTCTGAGTCTGGAATTACAAAGAGACCACCATGCCCACCCAGCTCTTTTGTGCATACTGGGATTCAAACTCTGGTCCTGTCTGTTTTATGGTGTCTCAAGAACCTCAGTGTGCTGAATAGTTTTGTGTCAACCTGATACAAGCTAGAATCACTGGAGAGGAGGGGGAATCTCAGTTGAGAAACTACTTCCCCAGAATAGGGTTATCAGAAGCCTGTCGGGCATTTTCTTAGTGATTAATGGAGAAGGGCCCAATCCATTGTGGGTGGTGCTACATCCCTGGGCTGCTGGTCCTGGGCTCTATAAGTAAGGTTGAGCAAACCATGGAGGAGCAAACCAGTAAGCAGCTCCCTTCGATGACCTCCACATCTAGGCATGTTTGAGTTCCTGCCCTGACTTCCTTCAGTGATGGACTGTGATGTGGAAGTGAGATAAACCCTTTCCTCCCCAACTTGCTTTTAGTCATGGTGTTTTATATCACAGCAATAAAAACCCTAATTAAGATACCCAGGGTGACCTCAAAATTGCTATGTACTGGAGGCTGCCCTTAAACTCCCTATGTTTCTTTCTCTACATTCCAGACTCAGGGTTATAAGTATGTGCCACCATGCTCAGCTTCAGAACTAGACCATTTTTTCTTTGATTTTTCGAGACAGGGTTTCTCCGTAGCTTTTGGTTCCTATCCTGGAACTAGCTCTTGTAGACCAGGCTGGCCTCGAACTCACAGAGATCCGCCTGTCTCTGCCTCCTGAGTGCTGGGATTAAAGGCGTGCGCAACCACCACCCGGCTAGACCATTTTTAACACTGGGTTTAGTTTTGGTAGTCTGCAGCCAAGCAAACGGTTAGCAAGGCAGACAGGAGTAGAATGGGTTTTAGGAGGA